CTGTTTTACATTATGACAAGTCAAACAAAGCTAATACTTTGAAGATTTTTCGACTAAACAAACCATTTGAACACAACACCAATGGCAAATCTTCAAAGAAAAAGTGTAGTTTTAATATTTTAAAAAAATCAGACTTTTAACTGTTTGCTAATGGTTCACTCAAAGTGCTGGTTCAGCAATGAAAAGTGCATATCTACCTCCTCATTTCATCATCCCCTCCCTCTACTGTGCTGCCTCTTGCCGAATCCCGCCACAACAGAACAAGTGTGGTAATGTGTTTGAGAGTTTATAGGCATACTTCCAAGTAGGGGTGAGTTTTGGATACATATCACCCTCTCCAAACCCTACTTTCGTGGGGTTTTACTGGGATTGTCGTTCTTTTTTATGGAAGGGGGCATTCAAGTTTGGGTGCAATGAGATATTGAAAGTACTTACGTGCAGCCAGGTTGAGGTTTCAATGCGTTTGGTCCATTTCGTATCCCCCCTCTTGTGACGAGTAACCTGCGATTCATTGGCAATAGCTTTGGAGTAACTCTTGTGACGAGTAACCTGCTTTAGCAATTTGAAAAGGTTATGTAATGGTACTTTCAGCGTGTTCAAAAGTAATTGTCATGTTAAGGAAGTTGTTAGAGGATGAAGCTTCTTTTTAGGGACGGCCATTAGTTCCATAGACCCATTGAAGAAAGTTATATCTTGGAATCTGTAAGCAATGTTCCCTTCAATCCTTTCCTGATTTGCAGATTGGGCCTTTATTGGCGCTATGGGATTGCCGAAGATGATGCTGTCCATTGGAATTGGTTGTGCAATGGCGTGAGCAAAGTTATGGAAGCCGGATGTGGGTCCTACGTTTTTTCCGTTGTCCCAGCAGCTCCATAGTGTGGCTACCCTGAAAGCCATATCCCTACAGCTTGCACTTCAAGTCCACACTCTCTGCAAATAGGATGAACTTCATTTCTTTAGTTAATTTGAGACTCAGCAAGAGTACCTGCAATAGGGAAGCGTTAATGGTGTTGTGGAGTATTTCGTGTTTTTTTTTGTGTTTCTTAAATTGTTTAAAATGGTGAATGTGCATTTTGTACCGTTTGTGTTGTAGGATTTCGTTGTATACTATGTTGTCTGTCGTTGAAGTAAATCTGTCCTGCTGCTCATACAATTTGATAGTATTTAGAACTACAACAAAAAACAAGACAGTAAAACGCAATTGCCTTAACTCAAAACACGACCTAGAGTCTGACCTAAAAATTAAAATCCAACGGATTGGACCCGCAAACCTAACGCAAATTTGATTGTCAAACACTAAAGTTAAAAGTCAACCTAGAACCTAACCCAAAACCAAACCCAAAATCAGGTGCAATCCCCAAAGTAAGAAACAAAATCCCTACCCAGTACCTTACCCAACAACCAATGTTATGGCATGCTTCAATCTGTTGCAAAACTAGGGGCTTAGAAGGAGCTGCAAAAACTATTTTTCCTGCCATGATGTCACATATACAAAGTAAATATATTTTTGGTATGCTTAAGCTTTTTCCTCAACCAACAAAGTCAAAAGCACACAACTAAGAGGTTAAAGAGGATTATGATGTTACAGTTGTTCTTTTTGGATAGAAACTGCTAGAATAAAAACATAAATTTCAAAAAAAAAAAGCCTTTCACAATTCATGCAAACTAATGAAGTCATTGTGTAAGGTACATGTAGGTTTGAATCCAAAGCAATGCAAATGTTAGAAACTCTGAATTTGTATGTGATGCCCATAACTTCATGCATAAACAGCTCATCTATATTGACAAAATAAGGAACATTCACTCCAATAAATAACTCTACTTCAGTAAATATGTATATAATTCATTACAAGAAATTAAGACCTTATCAAGACAACATTATTTTCAGCTTAGTTGGACCTTACTGAGAGTAATGAGATCTTATCTATATTCAGCTTTTGCAGTGTTTAGATAGGATTGCCATAAGCATATTGATATAGTTCCAAGCAGCTCACTTGAACTTATTTCTTTATGCCATTTTCCAGAAAGAAAAAAAA